CGAAGACACGCGGCGTCGCAAGTGCGCCAAGCTGCGCGGCATAAATGGAGCTGAGGTTGTGCAGAAGGGGGAAATCAAGGGAAATCATTGATTCTGAGGACTGCTACATTCCGAGGGGTTAAAAAGAAGATTTGGCGAGCAGCCAAACCCATCACTTTGAAAGCACTTGAAGACTCTGTCATCCGCCGGCATCCTTCTATGGTTACTTCAAAATGTTATTGTCAAAACAAATCCATGATTTTCTGATTAACACAATTCGCTTATAGTTCAAACGGAACAAATATCAGTCATGACTAAACAATACAACTATCCACACTAGATGAAAAAAGCATTATGAAAAACGAGAATAGTGCAGTTACACAAATAAAACGAGGCAAAAACATTAATACGACAAATGATAAAAGTGATGATGGCATAAAAAACGGAAAAAAATTGACCCGAGATGTTATTAATGCGAAAGATTACGGGGAGAATGCTAATCTATCGCATATGAGTGAGAAGCATATCCATCTGGGCGTCGTGGAGAAGGTCACGGATGGCTTTCTGGACTTTCAAATACTGGATGCGATCCTTGTACGCAATTTCTCGTAATGGATGAAGGAGCGAGCGACCTAAAATTTGTAGGCTGAGATAGACAGCAAATTCTGAAGGAAAATGGGGACATTTTCCCGCCAAAATTCACTCTACAAAATGTCTAGCCTTAAAATCAGCAGAAATATATTATCAAGACCGAACAACTTACAAAATGCCATATACTCATCCTCTTCCTCCGTTTCTTCACCTGACTGGGGAGCAATGCGTTTCCCTCCAACAAGGGAGCCCTTCAAAAATAATTTTTGAGAAAATGGAAACCAAATATCTGGTATACAGGAGCGAATTTTCAAACAGTACCTGAGAAGATCCAGAAACTTCGTCAATCCTTCGTTTCTGCACATTTCTATGAACGTTGAATAAGTCATCGAGGAACATTAGAGAACTATAGAATTTCCATTTCGGTGTCACCGGGATGCTGTCGTTATTATAAGAAAGCTAAATAAGTGTATTATGAAGAGGGATAGGGCCGAAAGATTTGCACTTACTACCTTCTTTCTTGTCTTGACGTAGGTATCTTTGAGATTCTTCCATTGTTTCTCTACTTCCTCTGCTAAAAAAAATTATGCTAATGCTAGACGTTTCAAAAAAAAATTGGCAGTATTTGGCATAAAAACAATATGATTCCTTTTAGAGCTACGCGCCATAATTGATCACATCTGCTTAATCCACTTCGTTATTGGCCAAATCAATGAACTGACCAATAGCGAAGTGATTGTGGTGCATTAAGACATCCACTTCGCTATTGGTCAGTTCACTAAACTGACAATAGGAAGTGGACGTGGATCGAATGGACCAGGTGGTCCGACTATGGTCTGGCCATAATGTAAGGAAGCTCAAAGAGCACCATTAAAAAAATCAAACTTTTCTCTAAAAAATTTTCGCACAGTTAAACCAGTTTTCCAAAGTTACGAAAAAGAAGATAACCCACGTGTGAGCTCGGGATCCAGCTGATTTTGTTGATTGATTAGATTTGTGACCTCAACGAAGAGCTCTTTACGTGATGGTCCGACAGTTTTTTCTCTAAAATAATGATTAGTTAGAGATGAGGCGGAGAATGAGGGTATAAGAACTTGCCTCTGACAATCCCAGATACCAGGCCTTAGGTAAACCGCATCAATGATGCTGAAGCGAATTTCGTCGGTAATCATTGAGCCATGATGCTGGAACATGGTGGTGAGATCAGAATACAAGAAACAAAGTGTAAGCTTAGATGTATTTGCCAAAAAATGTCCAACCCTCGTACTTTTTCATCAAATAACCCCTAACAGGACACCTAAGACAAGCGCCATACTTGATCCATTCGCTCCTCCTCCACTTCCTTATTGGTCAAATCGCTGAATCAACCAATGGCGAAGCGTACAC